CAGAAGAAGCTAAGACCTTTTGAGGTGAAGGTTGTGAAGCAGTTTCTGAAAGATCTTGTCCATTTTGGAAAATTTTCATACGGTCCCTCACAGACAATGTCCCTTTGTCTTGCAGCTCACTTTCTATGCACTCAGACGTCAGGCCATCACTCCTAATGTCAAACTGAATTGTGTCAGCAAACTTTACTGTCTTACCAATGGAAGGTTTTTCTGATATAAACTTTGTTTTCTCAGTAATAATTTCGATTGAGCTAACCTGTTCATCCCTTATGCCCCTCTTGACCATTTTACCCACATCTGTTTGTTGATTGAAAATTATGTGGCTTCCATATGCTGAATCTTGCTCTACCACCTGTTTTTCTTCAGTATCTGTAAGCTTGTTTACAACAGTTTCACTATTATAAGAAACGGGTGCCTTATGCTCAAAAAGCCCAGATTTAGATTTTGATGGGTTCTGTCCAGCCTTAAAAGCTTCCATTATGTCAGTCACAGACATTGTCTCCTCTAATCGCTCTGTCTGAGATCTTGGAGATTTAGGGGATTTGGGAACTTTGGGAAGTTCTGGCATGACTCCCTCTTTCTTCTTTTGAATGACTGAATACTTTTCATCATGTGCTACACTTTGAATAGTTTTTTGTGAGTCCCCTTGTTCAACTTTGACCTGTAAAGCTTTAATTTTGTCTTTTACTGACCCAATAGGTGTCTCAACAACTAAAGGAGAAACAGGGGGCTCCATAACAGAGCTAGATGGTAATCCACTTGTTTTAAGGATCGCTTCACCATCCAAAGATTCTTCAGAACTCACCCTTTCCAACTCTCCCTCTGAACTGCTACACCTGGATAGCTCTCTTTCTCTAATTTTTCTCCTTACAGGTTTTTGTATATTTGGCGGATGTTGTCTGCTGTGTGGTGCTGTTTTCGCGATGGTAGCTTTCTCAGATATGTCCTGGCCAAGATCTTCTTCAGAACTGTATCTCACATCAGGTCTCTGCCCAAAAATGTCTCCCTTGTTTGTGTTGACTTTCGAGACCATGCCTAGCATTCCTTTCCCTAACTGACTACTATAAGTAAAGTCTTCTTTTTGTATCCCCCCTGTCTTTTCAGACCTATCTTTCAAGGGTTCCACTTTGGCAAAGTGAGGTGCCACTGACACTACATCTCTAGCTGTCTCCTCATCGACATCTGCTGGAAATACTGATATGTCTGACAGAATGTCCGGACTTGCAAGAGTTGCAGGATCCATAGGTTGGTTTGTCTCAGTGAACTCAGACTGATCATCTTCAATGAAAAAAAGTTTTCAGAACCAAAAAGGGTAGATAACATATGGGACAAATCAAGTGGGAAAGAGAGACATCAGAAAACTTTCATCAAGACAATGCCATCAAATATCCATCTTCAGTTCACAGTGAAAGGAATCTGAAAGGGTAGAAGATAAGGAAATCTTGTGGGGAAAAAAAGGCCAAAAAGGGGACAGCGTAGTCCAGAAAGATTTGAAAGGACATAGAGCAGCAACAGCATAAGCAAAAGCCAAGATTGGTGAAATAAGGTAGAATGTGGACAAGAATCTAATGCTATTTACAATACATTTGGGTTTCTACCACAAACTATACCAAAAGCACTGAAAGTAACAAAAAAAAAAAAAAATCAGTGAAATTAATTGATAAGAAAAAATAACAAACATTGTCAAGATTATTGCTGACATGGTCATATCTAACTATAATTTTCAACCTTAAGTAAATCAGGAAAATTACTATGTTTTTGTAATAAATCAAGCATTTTTGTTACTCATAATTAACTGTGCTCTTTAGGTATCCTAATGTCAGCTTCAAGATTAAAATAGTATAGTAGTTTTTAAGATCTAAATTAGAATTATGGAACTACATTTTTACAATTTGAATAATACAAGAGAACTGGAGGGAAATGTTTACTTGAAGCTACTATTTAGTGCAGGGAGGATTAGGCAAAATGTGTGATGTTAGCTAGAATAATGTTTTTGTTTGAACAAAGAACGAATAAGATGATGTTGTTTGTAATATGCAACCCAAAATCAAAAAAAGTTAGACCTTAATTTACAATACTGCTTTAGACGCAAAAATGTGGGTTTCTACATTGAAACTGATCTGATGTAACCAAAGAAAGCAATACTCAACTATAAAGAATATAATAATAAGTAGGCTATAAGAAATCCAAGCCTTTGTGGGTTTTGAGATATGCTGGAATTTACTGCTCTTGGAATGTTTCTTCCTTAATGCTTAAATTCAGAGCAAAATGGAGTAAACTATATTTTAGCTCAGTAGTAGTGTATTTAAATTCAGGCACTTGACACTTCCTCAGTTTTTAACATGTTCGTTTTTGTCCAAACCAAAACCTCTGAGGTCTGTGTAAGGAAGTCTTGGTGGAGAACTTCTCCACTCAGATTAAATTTTTGACTCTCTGCCTCCTCATAAATTTGATTGAAGTCCTTTGCTGCCATGTATTATGTTTCTTTTTATCTGTTTCCAATGTGTCTAAAGTGTTACGTAGGGAAGACCTCATCTGATTGGCAAGCGTATGTATAGTACTTTAAAGAAAAAAAACAACTCATTTAAATTTGTATTTATTGTTTCATTACAATACAGTCATTGTAATGTTCATTTTGTTTAACTTTCAACATAACTGAAGAATTTCAAATTTGGACAGTAAACCCTATACTATAGGCAGAGCGAGTCTGCAGAGCAAACTGCTATTGTCTGTGATCTCAAGAGGTTAATAAAGCACCTAGAAACTGTCTTTAAAGTCAGAACTGCATAACAATTAAGTGGTGTGACCTGAATAACAGATGTACAGAATAACAGATGTGATAGTATAAGGCATGACTCAGGAAAATATCTATGCTTATTATCTGCTCTACTGTCTAAAATAAAAATGCATGAAATGTTGTAAGAAATGTAGAGGGCTTTCTTGTTTTGGATGATTCTAGTGTTGTGTAAAAGAATAAAAAAAAACTTTATCTGTGAATCTAATAACAGCACTTTTTGAAAGGTTCTTAAAGGAATAGTACACCCAAAACATGATTAGCCTTCATTTTCTACTCACCCCCATGCTGAACAACACCCTGGAGTACTTTTTTGATATCTCAAATGCATCTGGAGATCTGGGAGGCTTCTTGCTGTCTGCTGACATTCAAATAATGGAGGTCTATGGCGCCCGAGACAGAAAGGTCCACAAAAGTCCACAAAAACGTGTCAATATTCCTCCATACTGCTCGTCCAATGTAATCCAAGTGTCCTGAGTGGGTAACGTCCATAATTTACTCGAAACGAAGTCATTTAGAACGTTTTAGAGCATAAACAGTAGTGTATAGGATTTCCTAATAGCGCCCCCATGCGCGCTCACGATTCTACGGAAGCCGGCAGACCAAACCAGCGCATTCAGCTCGGCAAAGAACTCATGCTCTTCCTCAACACTGAAGTCCTCAGACATTTTTCTTTCGTTGTTTCTTTCTTTGCACAGGTAAACAGCACATTTCTTCTTCTACGCTTGCATTATCGGCAGAGCAGACGCTGAATGCGCACTTTCTTCCGGTTTGGTCTGCCGGCTTCCGTAGAATCGTGAGCGCGCATGGGGGCGCTATTAGGAAATCCTATACACTACTGTTTAGGCTCTAAAACGTTCTAAATGACTTCGTTTCGAGTAAATTCTGGATGCTACCCACTCAGGACACTTGGATTACATTGGACGAGCAGTATGGAGGAATATTGACACGTTTTTGTGGACTTTTGTGGACCTTTCTGTCTCGGTCACCATAGACCTCCATTATTTGAATGTCAGCAGACAGCAAGAAGCCTCCCAGATCTCCAGATGCATTTGAGATATCAAAAAAGTACTCCAGAGTTTTGTTCAGCATGGGGGTGAGTAGAAAATGAAGGCTAATCATGTTTTGGGTGTACTATTCCTTTAAGAAAATTGTCCTGGTAAGCTGAATTGATGACAGTACGGAGATAAATAGAAACACATTTTGTCATATTTTATGAAAATGCAACATTAGAGCAACATAAATGGGATTTAGTCAGTGCTCCTGTTAAGGACTAATCTTTGGAAATCTTTGAAATAAAAAATGGAAGGAGGGCTTAGTTTAACCTCACACCTAAAAAAAACAAAAACCTGAAGAACGATACAATATAATGGCTGCACTTTTCTCCTATACATATCCTTAAAGCCACAGGATATTGTATCAGAAAGAAATGACTGCATTATAATATGGAATGCATTAAATTTATTGGGTTGATTAAAATAAATTAAAAGCCAGTTTAGCATTCATTACTTATTTATTTGATGGATTTGTTTTTTTCCTTGTCGGACATTTCAACATTCTTTGATCTTTACATTTTAAGTTAAATGTTTGAATGTTCTTATTAATGACTTGAATTATTGGAGAAGGTCTACTTCTGGTAGTTTGACTGGCAACCTCACATGTGGTTGTACTGCTGAACAGAAGTCAAGTTTTGTTTGCATGCTTCTAATGATGACATGAATTGGGTATAAACAGAGAAACAAGTCAAAATGAATACTTTCTCTCTTTTGTTTGCAAAAATTGTTTATGAAAATATTTACTATAGACATTAAATTAAATGAATTAAAACAATTTTATGCCAAAATGGAAAGTATTATTTTGACCATAACATATGATTGTTAAAAAAGCAAAGCAAAACAGAGAACAATACAACATGCTAAAACATGGAGAGGGTTAGTTGAGTCTGCAGTGAGGGGAACATAGCCATAGCATAGCTGCCATTAACCATCATATTACTACACTCTGTGTTAGTGGAGCAAAGTAAGAAACACAATTCATTCAAATTATTCTATCATTTTACGCTAACAGCAGTTAATAAAAATTCAGTTACAGAATGAATTTAGAATATCACTTTATTACAAATAACTGAAAACAGTTTAATATCATATAAAGCCCTAATATGATCTTCATGCTTGATGTTTTAAGTTATAACTAAATAAAAACTTACATTTCTTATCACTCTTCTCACTCTGAAAAGAAAGGATTAAACAGTCATCGTTATGACCCAGTTATTCTCATTGGTACTTTAAAATATGAAGAGAAAATCTTACTAACCTCGTCTTCCCCGTCTTGGTCTGAATCAGGGTCCTGAAGAAAAGAAAGAATAAACATTACTGCAATCTCTAAGATTTGAAAACATAAACATTCCTGTAGAAATCACAATTAATTAGAATAGTTCCAATTCTTATCAAAACTACCTTTGAGTAGGTAGGAAGAGTGATGTTAAGGTTGCAGATAGCATTGTGATGAAGGCTTCGGTATGTGCGGGGTTCCTTGGTGAAGGACAAGCGACCACAGGGCTCCTGGGCAGTATCACGAATCTGTTCATAGAAGAAATGGTTGTATGTAGGACATATTCAAATACATCTTAAAGGACACCTCAGAAATGTGTATTTGTTATATGGAAATACTTTAATAAAGAGTGCCAGTCTGTTCTCTTTAAAGGCAAAGAAACTGAACACATGGTGCTGTCCACTCTTTGTAAGAGGAACAAGGTTTCCGAAGCAGTCAGCATATATGGGCTTTCCCTCCAGCACCTGTGGGTGGATAATACATGCATATGATACAAAACCATAATTGTTTCATTCAGTGACATAACCACCTTTTTAGTACTACTTTCATGAAAAAAAATGCTTCTCTGCATTTATTTACACATAAAATATTAAATAATTATACGTTTCACACCTTTAAATGAGTTTCACCCCTTTTTCAGACATAAGCACAGAATGTTTGTGTGTTAAAATTGAAATTTAATGGAATGTCTGAAATAAAGTCATTCATTTTTTTCATCAATAGAATTTTCTGCTGAAGGTTAATTATAAGAATAAAAATGCTCTTCCCTTCTGGAATCTTTTTATCCTAAGCTTTTCCAATCGTACCTCAACATCTCGGCTACGCGCTACTTCAGTGAAGTTTTCCTGCTGCTCCAAGGTTTTGTCCATCTTGTCATCTGTCATGCAGAAACAACGCAACCGTGCCTCTATTGGATCCAGCGTTTTGGCAAAGATGACAAACTTAGCCATGTAGGGTACACAGATGAGTTCTCTGTAGAGCTGTGTTCCAAAATTAACAGACTCCTGGATCTGTCTGCAGTCTATGAGCCAGAACCTGTGAATTTCATTGACAAGCAACTGGTAACCAGCAGACTAATGAGAAAAGAACATTGAGTTTAAAACACAGCTGCAGCATTCACCATCTGCCCTACAAACGCCACTTTACCTTGCTGACACATTGGTAGTGAAGGAAACACATTGGTTAACAAAAGTGAGTGGTGTGGAGCCAGTGATATCCTCCCATTGGGCAGGTGTGGTTCCACCTAAAACACAGAATAATGCCTTGTTAAAGAACTGGCAGTACAATAAATTACATTACAGCAATCAAACCTGACATGAAAATGTGTTGATAATAATCTCATGTTTTCAAATTACAATGTCATCTCAACAAATGTTAATAAAAAAAAATCACCAAATGTTTAGTGAACTTCAAATGGGATCCTATGAATAACTGATACTGATTATCTAGAAATGTATTGACCTGAATGGATAAAAGCACAGACTGTTTTACTATCCTTTTAACATTAGCAGTTCATTTATCTCAAAAATTAATTTGAACTATTAATTTAACTTTGTTTTGTTTTTTATCAAGTAGTATAGGTGTGATCATTTCACAAAATGTATTTGCCATATTACCTGTTATACTGCAAAGCAAACGTAAAGTGGGAGTCTCTCCACTAAACACAGCATTAGGTCCATCAGTGTTGGAGGTTTTTGGGATGGGGATAGTCATGGTGATCGGTTTATGGAACTTCCTCCGTCTCGGCTCTAATGTAACAATTGGGCTAAAAGTGGCTTTGTTGCCAAGAATCTTTTTCACAAGCTCTTCATCAATTGGTTGAGCCTAGAAAGAGAGAAACGTTTGTTATTAGGGTTCTGGAAACCTAAACTTACCGATCATTTTTGAAAATGATCCAAACACCATAATAATCAAAAGTGGAGGTGCAGCCAGAAATCATCTATTGATTAGAATGGGAAAAATTTCAGGTTTATCTGGACCTGAACAATGACCAGTTATTTTAAAAAGTGTATCCAATTCCTTAGCACTACAAGACTGGACTAAAAACTAAATTATTTTATGAATATAAAAAAAACACACCTGCTTATGTTTACCAAAGCCAACTATTCTAACCTTAGTAAAGGCTGCTATAAGTCTAAAGATAGATAAATTCATTAACTGTAAAATTCTAAACAAAATGTATTATACTGTATGTATTATTGGTATTATCTAATGTATTGTTAGCCATATCTAAAAACTCTCAAATGATTTCTTTTTCACATGTATATACCTGTAGCCCAACTCTGATCTTCTTGGTGAGGGCGCCTTCGGGGAAGACCGCCTGGACCTGGGGTACTAGAGTACTACTGAGCACGCCACCGTCTGGACCAATCAGATGGCTATCCTGCTTAATCCTGGATACCACAGCGAAATACTGAGGAAAGTCTCTGGTGATAATCCGACAAATTCTCTTCTTTTCGAGCTCTTCAGGAGAATCAAGCTCTGGAAAATGTGACAAATACTCTCCATTACTATTTACTCTCTTTAATCAATGAATTGTTTAATCATATAATATATATTGAAATCAACATAGCAGCCGTTATCATGATTTGACGCTAAATTCTAGCCTTTTTTAAATTAATCTTCATAAAATCTTTCCTTTTACAAGCTGTGAGATCTTGTTTTCTATCAATGTCCCTTACTTTCATCCATGCCATTAAGAATCTGGTTCAGCTCCTCCTCAGTGAAGTCACAGTGATGTTCTTTCCAGTTTTCTCCTGTTTCACTCCGCAAAATCACAAGTTCCCTTTCAGTACCCCGTAGTGCGGCAAAATGGGGAATTTCTACAATCACAGGCCTGGTATGGATTTAAGAGGCAAAACAAAAGAGCACAAGTAGAATTAGAAATAACAGAAGCCTCCCAGGGCTTATTTTAGATTTAGAAAGTTATACAATTTATGAAAAATCCCATACAAAAAAAATAAATGTTATAATCTTGAGGATTTCATGCTAAATGTAAAAAACAACAACATCATGAAATAATGAAAAACAATGATTATAAACAGCATTAGCTATGTGAGATTGGCAGAACGCAACAAAAAAACAAGGGGTAACTAAGCAACTGAGGATAGCAGGTCAGGAGTTCTCGCATCACAACATTTTTCTTTCAGGTAAAAGCAAAAACAAAATAAATCCAACTGAAAAGGTATAAAACTTCAAAAATGTTGTTAAAAAAAAAAAAACTTAATCCTAAAGTAATCGTAGTGGCAAAAAATAAAAGAGTGTCTATATGACCCAGATTCCAAGATGGCAGTGTTCCCCCCTTCCAATGATCCTACCCGAGGAACTTTGTTCCTGGAGGACCCAGCTGCAGGATGCGACTGACCAGGCTCTCGCCCTCATTCAGAGGGGGCGGAGCGGTGGGAAGGTGGAGCTTACTGATTCCGTACGCAGCACAGAGGAAGGAGTGAAGAAGAAAAATTTGAACACAAAGCTCCACTGAGAGTACACAAAGTAAGACACATGTACTTGCAGGTGGGGGAAATCTACTTTAAATTGTATTTATTAACATAAGAGATTTGTTTTATTAGGTCTCGTAATTTTTACTATTTCATTTCATAAGCTAAGCAATTCTATCACAGGCTTCTTAATGTGCGTTAAAATATATACAGATGAATCTAAACAATAACATAAACAATTCAATTATTATTTTCTGTCAGTATCATTCAAACTGAGGTATATTTTGTAAAAAATAATCATAATAATAATAATTTAACACAAATTTCTACAAAGGAAAAGTGACGGATTCATGAATAAAGGTTCTGTTTTTATTATTAGTTTATCCAGTCTCTCTCTCTCTCTCTCTCTCTCTCTCGATTTTTTGTTTGTTTTAGGTTTAAGGTTGGCAGAAAAGTGAAAGGAACTTTAAGTTTCATAGGGTACACTGCACGTACATCTTGTGAAATAAGCCATAAGATAGAGCCATATATAGAACAGGAAAAAAGTATCAACTGTGTTGAAAAAGAATGTTTACTTTTTGAAACTACTTGCTTTTCTGTTTTGTGGTTCTGCCACCTCATTCCTTCTTTCAGCTTGGAGGTTTGTGGCTTTAGGTCCAAGGAGCTTCAGTCAGAGGTAACCCTCTGCTATGACTAGCTTTGGTATCTCTGAGGCTCCTTATTTTCTATCTGAGGTGCTTGAACCATTTGAGGTGCTTGTTATATAGCATGTTAAGGATGTGAAGGAAGACCATTTCATTTTACTGAATTTGGCATTTCATTTTACAAAACATACAAAATACACAAATATTACAAAGCAAACACAAAAACGTTTTTTGTCAGGGCTGGAATATTTATCAGGCTTTCTGGCTGGATTGTGCAAAAACCTCTGGCTGTTTCTTTTTCTGTCTTCTGATCCAGAACTCAGCTGCGTTGCTAGTCAACAGCCTCCAGGAAGGAGACGTCACAAGGTTCCTGACGTCAATGGACTTTAATGAGCTAGCGGTATAAAATAATACTAGATCTACTGCTTCTGATTAATGCAGGGAAAACCAAAGAACTAGTGGTGGACCTTCGCAGAAGCAGATCCACCCCACCGACACTGGTGAACATCCAGGGAACGGACATTAAGATAGTGGACTCTTAAAAGTCCCTAGGTGTTCACCTGAATAACAAACTGGACTCACAACACATAGGAAAGGTCAGAGCAGACTCTTCCTGCTAAAGAGACACATCTTTTTGAGTGCAGGGGGCGCTCTTGAAGACCTTCTATGACTCTATTGTGGCATCAGCCATGTTCTGTGGAGATGTCTGTTGGAGCAGTGGCTTATCTGTAGCTGAAAGAAAGCAGCTGGATAAGCTGATCAGGAAGGCCAGTTCTGTGATTGGATGCCCTCTGGACTCAGTGCAGGAGATGGAAAACAAAAGGATCCTAACTAAATTAACATCTTGGTTGGATAATCACATCACATGCATGAAGCTGTTGCAGAAATTTAGAGGTCCTTCAGTGACAGACTGTTGCATCCTAAATACACCAGCGAGCGTTATCACAGATCCTTCCTCCCAGCAGCTGTAAGACTCTGTAACCACCACTGTTCCCAACAACCTCAATAAGATGTTACATTCATGCTGATTTTGCAGGTACTATCATTGTCAGTTAAATAACATGCTGCTGTCATTTTGCACATCTCTGATGTTGCTGCTTTTTAAAAATATACATTACTGTAAAAATGTCCATAGCTGTAAATCAGTTATTTACTCTCCAGGTACTGTTTTCATATTGTTAAAACACTTTACAATACTTTATTTTGTTGTTTATGTTTTCACTCTTCACTAGTATGTGATTCTAATACATTTTTCTATGTTCCACATTTGTGTGACCATTATTTCTATGATCTATTTTTCAGCTGTAGACACCAGAATTTCCCCATTGTGGGACAATAAAAGGGATTTTCTATTCTATTCCTTTCTACATACCTTAAAAAAAGACATTTATTACCTAGTTTTCCAGCCCTGCTTTTTAAACACAGGAAACAACCTTATTGTTTATTTATCATAGTGGATAAAAATCCATCCATGTATTTGAGGGGTTTCTCATTCAAGAGTTAAATTACTTACTTTATGGTAAATTAAAATAAACAAAATTTTATTGATTATTATTAACATTATTTCTGTTTTGAATATAGCAGTTGCTCTTGTTTTCAACTCTCACGTGTGAAAAAGAAATTAAGGACTCGAGACATTAAAAACATTGTATAGATGGTTAATTGATTGAAATGGTCTCCCAATATCATATTGAGACCTTATAAATTTTCAAGGTATTTGATGAAAAAAAAATTGAGTGTATTAGAAAAGCCAGATTTTAGAGTTTGTGTTCATTATACTTAAACATTGACCTACCCGAGGAACTGAGCTCCAGTTGGTCCAACCTCTATGATTCGACCAGCAAGCCCCTCGCCCTCCACCATGGGGGGCATTGAAGCCAAGCGATGTCTCTTAACCAGCCTGCAAGTCACACGAGTAGGTGCCGAACACTTCCTTGGCGGCACGATGATCCGTAGGCCGTTGTGACGGCACCCCCGCATGGCTCCGCCCCTTGCATCAACCATAAAGCTTACCAGGAAGCTAAAGAGAGGGCCCAGAAAAAAGGGTTGGCAGGGTTTAAATACATCTCCACACAGAGAAATTGGATGGAAGAGAAAATAGGTGGAGACATTTACAGCAATTAAAAAAAGGATTTTAAAATCAGATTTCCAAATTTACATACACTGTATTGAAGACATATGACCATATTTTTATGCTATCATCGGACTTTACCTTTTACTGTTTTAGGTCAGCTAGGTTTACCCTACACAAATTAGAAGTTTTCATAAATTTCCTATGAATTTGTCAAAATTGCCTTTGGCTTTTGGAAATTCTTAAGGAGGCTTAACGTTGTAGCTTTATGGAATCTCAGCCCATTCATTTTGACACAACTGCTCTGTCAAGTTTTGGTGGGCTTGACTCTGCACAACTTCCTTTCTAGCCAAACATCTTCAATGGGAAAGAGATAAGGAATTGGTGATAGTTCCTCCAAAACATGAACGCAGTTGTCCAAAAGTCACTTTTTTTTTTTCAAATGTGCTGTATAATTAGGATAATTTTAGTCAAGAAGACCGAGAGCTGTGTTAGTAAACAGAAAACCCCACATAGATGTCATAATCTCACGACTGTATTTTACCGAAAATTGTGCTTTAAAGTTTGCATCCTCATTTTTCTCCAGATACAATGATAGATTTTTGGGCCAAAAAACTTTCATTTACGTGATGAGACTACTTACTTTGCATTTTATTATGCTTTTTTAGAAATGCCTTTTACTTCTTTAAGTGGCTTTTCAGGTCTGGACATAACAGGAGTTGTTTCACTACAGATGATGATCTTAACAGCTTAAACTAGTATCCTTGTTAATTGCTTCAACAAATTCCCCTTAACAAGAATAGTGTCATCTTGAAATATTTTTAGAGATGGGTGAGAAGTTAACTGACATTTTGTGAGCTGATCAGAAATGTACAAAGAATTGCCTTTATCTTCTGGGCTATCTCAAAGCTGGATGTAGCATAATCTTGGTGTATACCAGGAATCTTTCATTCTAATTCTCAAGATCCATATCCTGGATCTGACTTTGAGAAAAATTGTCATTTTGGTACTGCTAACTGACTCAACACAGGAAGAGGCTGATTTGTTGTCCGATGATGAAAGAAATCAGGTTACAAAGGTCTTTAATACAGTGTATATAAACAGTAGAATCTATTCATTTATAAAACAGCAAACAAACATTTGCCTAAAGTAACTGACTTTGAATGTTCTATATTAATACTGGGAAAGAAAACGGATTACTGCACATTCATGAGAACCTTGCAAGAAATACAGCAGAAATATACTTTTTTGTAAATAATTATATTATAAGTATTTCCTTTTGACAATATATCCATAGATTGCAAACTATAATATTTCTAGAGGATAAAAAGGCAACAGTTTAGAGCTACTTTTTTTAATTTCTAAAACCAGTTCATATAAAGTCATGCATTGGCAAACCATGCAGAGAAATAGGATGGAGGTAAAATGTCATTAAAGAGGACTGAGGTAATTGGATACAAGCACAAAGGAGCTTCACCTGCTGTTGTCATGGTCTAGGCATGGAGAGGAACGGCTAGAAGCAGAACACAGCAGTGACACATACAGACACGCAGTCACAGACATAACCAAGAGAAGACAATGGAAAGAAGCAACAAGAGAAGAAGAGAATAAAGAATGAGTAAAAGTGGAAACAAACCCAACCAGACATAACAGTACACTCAAGCATACATGGAGAAAAAACAGAAAACGCACACCAAAAAAAGAAAAACAACAAAAGAAAAACTGCTGGCTTATTCCATTAATCCAAATGCTGGGTTCATGTTGTGGTAATATATAATATATATATAATAATATAGGTTAGGCCATTTTGATCAAAGGTTTGGTCAAACTTGAAACTGAATTTGATCAGAAGAGACTAAAATGCGCTTCATTCTTCTTCTGACCTTATCAAAAACTTGGTCAGACTGAAACCTCCTTGTCACCATAAAATACACAAATGTTAAAAGATGCAATAATTATAGATGTCACCGAATTTGATTTATGACTAGTTCCCATTAGACAACACATTAGCTTCTGCAACCTATGTTCAACATCCTCTTTTTACCAGGTTTTCCTTAAATCTGTTCAAAGCACCACGATTAGTCTAAGCTGCGTCGATGTAGTGCTTCCATTTGGCAGGTAATACAAGATGTCTTGAGGTGATCAGTGATACTTATACAGCACAACATATGTTGCTTTTTTCAGGAATTTATTATTACACAGTGATCTTGTCATTTCTAAGGAGTTACACTAAAAATCAAAAAATTTTTAACACTGTTTAGTATTCCAGATTATGTCTGTAATCACTGAAGTTGACATTCTGTTTTGAAATCTAAAAGGCTGAGTCTCAACCCATGATCCAACTTAACTATGTTAGAGCAACCCAGGGTTTGGATTAGTACCTGATTGGACACATAAATGCTTTATAATATAACCTTAATGAACATTAACCCGGCAGTTTTCAAAGTGAAGGAAACATAGTTGTGAAGGACTGTAAAAATATAAAAAGAAAAAAGTGATTGTGACAGGGCTTCTTCACATCTAGTTATGAAATAATTATAGCTAATATGAGGTTAACATTTAAAGATACATATTTTGTAGCATTGCAAAAGCTACCCCAAGGTTCTAATCAAGTATGGCTGGTGGTCAAGAAAACAGCTATTTGCCTTATATTACACATGTCTTCATTCAAAAATAAAATTCAAGTTTCAGTTTAAAATGACTAAAATTATGAAAAAAATAGGCTTAATTAGGAGTTTATTTTGTTTATATTGCCACCAAACACAGTGTGGATGATGGTTAAAGGGGATTTAACATATAAAGAAACCTATTGGATATTCTATTAAAATAACTACAGTATTTAATTCAAGTTTAACATTTAATTTTTACGCTTCATCAGACAGTGTCTGAAAAGGTTGCCTCCAAATCTAATTACTATTCAGTCATCAGCAGATATGTCTTAAAACAAAATCCCATTTACTGTGAAGCTGCTGAAGGCCTGATTAATCTGATTGTTTTGAGGAAAATATAGCAACATAATCACATGTTCGTACTACAAGCAAGACAACAGATGCTCACAAACATGAAGCAAACATTTGCAACTGCATGTATACATGTAACAAGTACTCTATTACTAAATTACATCTAAAAGTCTTGTTTCTGGATGCGCTATGGCCACACATAATTTATTTATTCCATTTTCTAAAGCTGGCAATGCTGTTCAAATTTGAGTGGGTTACATGTAGTAATAATAATCCTATTCAACATGCATTTCAGTGGTTTAAATCCTTTCATTAAGTAATTTTTTTCCCGAGGTTTTCCCACTGGGATAGTATTTGCAACATGTTCTTTAAAACTTTTTCCCAAATTGACAAAATATACTCTGTGCCATCGGCTAGAAATTTGTTTGATAAATGGGGTCAAAATTGTTATTAGACCTATATCTTATAACATTTTACTTATATTCATATTTTATTAAACTACATCAAAACATTGAATATAAGGCAGGGTGTTCATATACCCAGAGTGCAGCAGACTAGGAGGCAGCATGACGTTATCGAGGTGTTCAGCACCCCAGCTCAGTCGGAAAGATTCCTTGTCATGCTCTCTAGACAATGCTGATACCTAAAAGAAAAACATACATGGTCAACTGGACTGGGAAAAAAAACAACTCTGGGAAAGCTTTAAACGACATTGCTACCTATTCCCTCACCTGGTGGCTCTTCAGGATATCTTCAATGAGAACTTCATCTCTCTGATTAAAACTTTGGTGAATAGGAGTGTGCTGGGTCCTTTAATAAAAAGCCACAACTTCAGACAACCTAAAAATATGTTTATTTTTAATTTAAATGACGTAGGCTTAATAGGAAAACAGTTGTGGGAGATACAATTGACACATTACTCCATGCATTTGTTCAAACGGCAGAGTTTCCTCTATTTGAAGAGCTTCTCTATCACTTGGAGTGTGATTTCCTCCTGACATGCACAATCATGGCAGCAACAGAAAAGATGACACAGCCACCTACAAAATGAGCTATAAAGTGTTGTGAGGACAGCAGCACTCACGTTCCTGTAAATAGCAGCCATAACTGTTCAAGTCTGTATAGATCCAGATCTAGATAACAGCCTAAGCACTTTAGTCCCATCAATGACAGCATTCCTGGGTGAAATGGTGCAGTTGCATGCATGTTTTTTTAATCACCTGTCCAAGGAATAGTTCATGTAGCTGAAGCTGTCCAGAGAATCGTCCTGCAGTTTCCATATGTCCTCTGCTCTCAGGTATTCCCCTCCATCCCCCGTCATTGTATCCTCACCTGGAAGCATCATATGTTAGCTTAGAGAAGCATTTTGTCTCCTATTCTTTTTATGTGTACATGGATATTTATTAAAGCATCTGCAACGCTGTGGGATAAGATGTGTTGCTGGTAAGCAAAGAAATATCAGCTCCTCTATGCAGATTATTTGATTATTTCTAGTCCTTTATGTTAGGAATCCAGTTTGTGTGGGTTGTTTGTGTGTTTTTCTCCCTCCACCACCAGGGGGTAACCTGTTCCTCGTTGGGCCTCCCTGCACACCTGCGGCTCATTGGATCATTACTGGAGGAGTATTTGAGCAGTGGGCTGTCACTACCTCGACGCCAGAGTGTTTGCCAGTTTTGGGTACTCTTTAATTCTAGAATATGGAACTGTTTTAGCTTTTTTTTTTTTATTTCTGAATTGTATTGTTTTATTTGATTTACTCATATTTCTATTTGGACATATTTGAGTCTTTAAAAAGTAATGATGATAATGAGCAATTGTTAATAAAAATAAACTTTGATTCAAACAAGTTTCAATCACAGTGAAAACATCCCTCTTACTGTAATCTCCTTAGTATAATTACCTCTGTACTGTAGGCTGCTAGTAGTGACACAATAGTGGTACTTTACTCTTTTTTAATTGTTTGCTCTGTTTTTTATTATCTAAAAAACATAAACGTATAATCCTACAACAAACAGAGAATCTTCAAATCACAATGTCTCGTTTATAAAATCTTCTTTTTACAAAAAAGGAGCTGTTATATATCAAATAGCATCCACAACATCAGTAAAGTATTAAAATTCCATTATACTAAACTGTATATTCTAAATCTAAAATGGGCTGCAAATTAAGCACTGCTTAACTGGTCTGCTAAGACATTCCCCATAAAATCTACAGTCTAACTTGTGGCTCACATTTTGTTACCAAATGCAAACTTAGAATAGCAACATTCAGGTAAACTATAACACAGATTACACCCGACTACATCTCTGAGATACCAATTTGTGGCAACATACTTAATCCTCAACTTACGGCAATATAAATCAACATCCCCATCTTCAGAATAAACAAGGATATAGTCAGATTACAAAGAAAGAGTCAGCTGGCGGAAAATAACATTTGACAGTGTATTACACTTAAAAAGGAAGCCTCTCTCAGATGAAATGCTGTGATGAGTAAATATTACTCCATCACTACTCAAATAGGAATAAGAAGAAAAAACTATTCACTACTTCCAATAAGTGTAACTTCTAGGCTCTGGTTTAGCTGAAAACACAAACAAATTGGACACTGAACCCTTTTTCTTATTCTACAGCGTTGGTAAAGGTTTCATTAATGGCATCCTCATCATATATAACATTTGAGATACAGAGAATAGAAAATCTAATAGAAAATCACTTTATTGTCCCACAATGAGGAAATTGTGGTGTTAAAGCAGCAGCAGCAAAAGGTTATAGCAGAAGTGGTCACACAATGTTAGAAAGTGTATAAAAATAACTGTATAGATATATATAGATATATAAAAGTACTGCATAGAGTTTTACAATACTCTGTATCTGTAGAATAAATAATCAATAAACAACTATGAACATTTTTACAGTGATGGATGTCACTACCTGATCCGTCCCAGAAGCACGTTCCATTCTGCGCATGCGCGAACATATATACATCTGGGCAGCGGCGTAGGAAGCGGGGGGGACGGGGGGGACATGTCCCCCCCAATATAAAAGCCAGGTGGATATGTCCCCCCCAAAAAATTGTACCGCAAAATATTAGATTTTGACATTTTTTAACTAGCGTGCTTTTATTTTGAAGGCGCAGCATAGCGTTACGTCACTGTACTCCCCCTCCCCTCTCTGAACTGCTGAGTGAGAGTGAAGGGAGGGAAACAGCGATACAGAAGTCAGAAACTTGTGAAAGAGGTAGAATGGTCTGTCGGGATGCTGCCTATTTGAAACGTCTTTGTTGTCAGTTCACTTTCATATATAGAAACTGAATCTTTTTGGTTTAGTCATCTTAGTCTTGTACGAAAGAGGATTAGGGCCACTGGAAAAAAAAAGTTAACTGATTTTTAAATTTTTTAACATGGGTAAAAAAGTAAGAATTCTGACTTTTCTCAGAATTCTGACTTTTTTCTTCTGACTTTTTTCTCAGAATTCTGACTTTAATCTCAGAATTCTGACTTTTTTCCTCAAAATTCTGACTTTAATCTCAGAATTCTGACTTTTTTCCTCAAAATTCTGACTTTAATCTCAGAATTCTGACTTTTTTCCTCAAAATTCTGACTTTAATCTCAGAATTCTGACTTTTTTCTCAGAAATCTGACAGATGATTAATATTTCTAATCAATTTACAGTGTTTTTTTTTTTTTGGGGGGGGGGGAGGCTTGGGGTACTATACAGATATATAAAAACAAGAAGGTTTAACTAAAAAAATAACCAGAATATATGTTTAGAGTAAAGATTTACTACTTGTACACAAGCACACAATTTCAAATCTGCTGAGCTTGCTGTGCAAGAAAATGTAAAATATACGTATAAGGAAATATAACAGGAAGTACTGCTAAAACAAACTAAATGTTAAATAATGTAGATATTGGTTTAAAAAATTCTTCAGATTTGGAAATTTGGAAGGAATACATAATTTTGAAATTAATCAACAAATCTGGTAAAAAATAAATAAATAAAAAACAAAGTTGCACTTTTTTACTTGAGGAATTTGTTGAATAACTTCATAATTATGAGTTTAACTAGTTGGAGGTAATGCTACACTTCTCTGCTTCCTGTCCTGCTCATAAAAGGTAAACATAATAAACCCACCATTCATTTTCTACACTATTTGGAAAACACAACACAAATGTAATATAACAAAAGTATGTTTAAAAACAAACATGTTCGCATCAAGCCATAGCCATGTCTGTTTTAGAGACTAGCTCTCTTGTTTTAATGACCTTCTGCTCCTCCATTTATAAGGGGGACCCCTCGGGCACGTAAAAAGTTGCCTAATTCTGTAATTTTTCACCAATATGTCACTGGCCACCTCAAACAACTCACATCTTTATCAGTGAAGCTGAGTGCTCCACATCTCTTCCTTCATGGTGACCATCTACATTAAGATCCAAAATTCTGAGATTAAAGTCAGAATTCTGAGAAAGAAGTCAGAATTATGAGATTAAAGTCAGAATTCTGTGAAAAAAAGTCAGAATTCTGACTTTTTTCCTGTATTAAACTGAAATAAAATTTAAAAATCACTTAACTTTTTTCAGTGGCCCTAATCCTCTTCCGTAGTCTTGGGCTGATCACTCATCCAATATTTAACTGCTAACTTTCTCTAGATGTTTGCCACGCTAGCCAAAATGTTATTTTTTTATATATATCTCATTTCAGTACAATGCCACCACCAACTAAAAGGCTTAAACAGCAGTAGGACTTACTCAGATTTTAAAAAAAGAGAAACGTCAGTGTGAGTAACAGTCACCTTACACAACTTGTGTTGAAATTAGCCCGGTCTGGGATTTTTTATTTTTTGTGTGGTTTTGATTTGCCGAAATGGAAAGATGTTATACCTGCCGCGCTCCTGATCGTTAGTTAAAACCACAGGGAGAATTAATTTTAATTCTTAGCAGCGAACTGCTGCACAACCACTAATTAACCAACTAATTAACTTCTGCACCTTTATTTCCTCAAACTGCTGGCTCCTCTTTTTAGACTATAAACAGATTAACACAACATTGACAACTCTGTAGTTTTCTCTGTTCTGTACTGCAAATTGGAATTAAAGACGCCATTTCTACCAAAGGTCGGGACAGTCTGGCGCACCAGCACCTCCTGACCCCACTAAGGGACAGGGTGTACAGAAAATGGAAGGATAGATGGATTTCTACCAAAGATTTAGAATGCGTTTTTGAACCAGATGCTTCAAAGCGCCCTGTCCATAATTCTTCACCACACTGTCAGCTCCCTCTGTCAGTCAATCTATATAAATTCATTTTTGACCATTATTGCAAGTTTGACAAAATAAAACATATCAAACTTTGCACTTGTGTGGCCTACTGAATTGTTTTTAATCCAACTGAAATATTTGATTTTCTAGTGCGTATGCGGACACTAAATATGCCAAGGGCTGAAGCCCTTGAAAGACATCTCCCTTTGCTTAATAAAAGACTCCAGTCATTTTGTTTGGTGATATGCCCACATCTTATGAACAAATGCATTATGTAAATTTTAAATGCATTATTTTTGCAAGACACATTTATAAAGGAATAAAGTAAAAGATTAAATAGCCTTTTTTTAAAGTAGCATACTTAAGATATGTTTCTGTTGAATATTTACGAATCTCAGATTTCCGACATGTGTCCCCCCCAATTGTAAACATATTCCTACGCCCTTGCATCTGGGTGTCCATAAATAATGTAATTATGGTACTAAAACTACTTATTTCTATCCTTAGCTCACTAAAGAATAGCAAAAAAATTTATGACTTTTGTAAGACAAGTTTTATGCTTTTTACATTCTCTTCATTAAACTGCTTCTCTGATGTCATGACGGGATATGCTCAGAGCAGTCCAGTGAAATATGCTTAAACCATGTTTATCTGCATTTTTGTTGTTTCTTTCTTTAGATTACGCACTATATGACATAAGGTTAAAAGGAAACAAAAACATAAAACTCAAAAACACTAGATTTATGTTTAAATCCAAAGCCTAAAAAGTTAGCTCCCGGAAGTAGCGTAGGATCCCATTTCCGGTGCAGATCGGGCACAAACAAATGATAACACAGAAAGGATTTTAAGGCATTTATTTTCTCAAGAAATTGATTTATTTTCTCAAGGGTTAGGTAGTGACAATGGATATGTGAAAATAGCAGCAACACCAGAGATGTGCAAAATGACAGCAGCATGTTATTTAACTGACCTAGACAGAAACTGCAGAAATCACCACGAATGTGAAAAAAAAAAAGGATTTTTGATAACGTTTTCTGGTGTATTCAGGGTGCTTAACAACTTTAACAGATATGGTTAAAATAGTTATGTCATGTCAGCATTTTAATTAAAGCACTGTTATTAAAAAAAAGAAAATGACCAGAAAATGTACTTGAATTGAGCATTAGGTTCTATATAACCTGTAGCAAACTCTGATCAGTTGAAAACCACTAGCTTAAAATGCAGCCTGGGATTTATAAAATATATTTTGCATGTTACTGAATGTATTTCTGAGGCTCTTAAGTCCCCACACTCTTCTATTTGAGACCATAAGTTCTGTTCCAAGAAAAAGTTTGGCTCAAACTAGATCATGTGTAATTGTTAGAAAACCATATTGCTCATTCCTGGTTATCTGCCAAATACATATACTGTATCTTTTACTTATCAGCCATCAAAATACTTAAAGGTAATCAAGATGGCAATACCAAAACCTCATGGAAAGATCTAATGACTATAAATTTATGCATGGTACAGTAAGCTGATATAATCAACTCCACAACCCAATGTCACTACAGTAAATTTTCATGCAGTTAGTGCTTTGCAATTATGGTCAGAATTGAAATAAGAAAGGTGGTTGATCTTTAAAAGAAAAAAAAAAAAAAAAGATTAAACATAAAATGGATAAACACAACCAAACTTAATTAACTTAATCTTTTAATTTTATATTTATATAGTTATTTCATGGTTAAATAAGTCACTGCACACCATGCTGACAGAGCAGTACCTTCCAGGGAAACAATCATGTCAGATAATGGTTCATCATCCACCTTCAGAACTATGGGACATAAATTTTTTAGACGCATAAAACTCCATTCTTTATTACTATTTGCCAAATAAAAAAAAGAGAGTACATTCTCTACAAAGTTGTTTTATTTGAAGCAACTTTAACTCACCTTCCTCATCTGATACATCTAGGATCTCCGTCATTGTCTCAGGAACGTTGAGTTTGTGTTTCTCTGTCACCGTCTGACATGACACACGGTCGCAGTCACATTGAAGAAGGATAAATCATTAAAAATTTGGAAGCTATGCAAAAAAAAAGAATCCAAATTAGTCTAAAATCTGAGATTGTATCACAAACCTACCGTTGTGGTGGTGATGATCTCTTCTGTGACGACTTTCAGTGTGTCCACCACAGAGATGTAACCCAGGCGTTTAGCGATGGACAGAGCGGTGTTCCCGTTCTGAAAAATTAACAGACATACAAATAGTATGAAGTTGATCAGTTTATTGTCTAGATGACAGACGATAAAAGGTGACAACAATATAGTCTTACCACTGTAGTTGTGTTGGGTTTGGCCCCATGTTGCAACAACACATTAATTATGTGTGTGTTCCCTTGTTGAGCTGCCTGGTGGAGTGGAGTGTAACCATTCTGTAAAAGAATAATAATAATAAAAAAAAGTGAGATATTTTTGATAAAAGGCTTGATCATGAATATAAAGTAAATATATTTTCGATTTAGCTGAGTTTGTCTTTTTTAAAGATAAAAAGAAAATTGTACCTTGGTTTTGGCATTGACGCTGGCACCCTGCTGTAGCAGGAAGTTAACCATTTTCAGATTTCCATAATGACATGCCACTATTAGAGGAGTATATCCAAGCTGAAAGGGGAAGGATAGCAGGATAAAATGTTGATTTCCTGACATGACAAAATTTTTATAGAAATTAATTAAAAGGAGAAACATTCAATAATGTTATATGAACCTTCTTATATAAGGAGTTAGGATTACAACCAGTTTTATTGGGATTTAATTTATTTATTTACTCATGGTAAAATAAAAGTTTCAATGGTTTTTATAATTCTTTTATTTATTTTTCAAATTATAGGAATCCTTACGGTTTTACCCCGTCTAAACTCAACTGTACCCAAATATCTTTTAGAAGTCAGTTAAGAGGTATTTGTGCAGCGTTTTAATTCTCCTTAGAAGTCAGAGTGGCATTGTTTAGTACTTTGTTTCTGAGTACATAGAAGAGTTTGTTCATACTTTTGTCTGCTGGTCCAGGTTTGCATCATGTTTGGCCAGAACCTCTGCTGCATTCACCCTCTCCTCCTGGGCTGCTAGATGCAAAGCTGTAAGTCCACTCTGTAGAGCATAAAGTGCATAACTTATGAGGTTAGCAAAAGCAGTTGACACAAATTTTATACAGCATACATAATTTGTCATTACATAAAGTAATTAAAATAAATAAATGTGTTTTTTTTGTGTAAGACCTTGGTTGCAGTGTTGACATGAGCTCCTTTGCGCAGGAGTAGGCTGACCATATCAGCATGTCCTTCCTGGGCTGCCAAGTGCAGGGGACTGACTCCCTGTTTGGTCAGAACATTGGTCTCCGCTCCGTACTGCAGCAGTGCTACTGCGATGTTGGTCTGGTTTTTTTTGGCTGCGATGTGAAGTGGGGTGTAGCCATTCTAGACAAGACAGGGGATTAATAGTTAAATGTTGAAACGTATTTTTTTTTTTTTAAAACAAAACCACCAAATCCCTGATAGATTGGGGCAGGGTGTTGGTGAGAAAACAAACTGCTGAAGAGCATTTACGCTCCCTCTTACACAACATGGAGCCTTTTTGAGAAACTTTGACCAACCTTTGCAGTGGAATATGGTGAAGCTCCCTTATCCAGCAGCAGCAGAGCCACCTCCTGGTTGTCATAATGAGCTGCTACATGTAATGGAGTCAGGCCATTCTGTGAAAGAATGCATTCATGTAAATCTACCTTTATCATTTTATTACCTAAATTCATGTCAATTATCAGTAGAGTCATACTTCTTTCTATTGTTTTAAACATTCAAATACATTTTAAATCATCTGACACATTGTTAGCCTGAAATGAACTGAAAGATGAGAGAAAACACAGCTATATATCTTCTGCTCACCTTGCCAGCGTCGTCAGGAAGTGCCTTCCGTTGAAGGAGAAGTTTAGCTACATCAAGGCTTCCATATTTTGCTGCTACATGTAAGGGTGTGAATCCCTTCTGCAGGATTTGAAATTGAGAAAACAATTATATTTCTTTGTTTTCAGGCAGTCACCTCTCAGTCTATAGGCATCATTGTCCTTCCCCCAGCTCACCTTAGTGGCCAGTGAGTGTGAGGCCCCGGCCTCCAGAAGCACAGCCGCCGTCTCTACCTGACCCTCCCTGGCTGAAATGTGTAGAGGAGTGTAACCATTGGTGGTGGCAGCGTCTGGGTGGGCCATGTGCTGCAGCAGAAGCTGAACAATATCGGTTTCACCCAAACGAGAAGCAATGTGGAGAGGTGTCTGGTCCTCCTGTTGATTGGTGTAGGCAAAAATATCATATTTTAGCCAAGAAAGAATTTGTTTAAAGAAAAGTTTTTTTTAGGTTTCCAAACTGGAAAGCAGTAGGGCTCAGACAGCAGTTTGAGCACACAGATCGGTAAATACAATACAGTGTTTTGTTGGGATTTAATTTGATAGACAAGTAAATGTAAAATATAAGAAAAAAAAAACACTTTTTGCAAATGATAAGTAAAACAACCCACAGCTAATATAAGGAGAACTGATGGATGTGTGCCCTACAGATCTATCCTGTTAGAAAGAGCAGCAAAAAGAAAGGCATTCAAGAAATCTATCAGAAAATCCCATTTATAGTTTACAAAAAGCCGTTTAGGGACACAGCAAACTACTGTAGGTATTCTGAACTCCAGCAGGGAACAACAACTTGTTTCAAATCCCCTGAAATGTTTTATTTCATTATTATATATATATATATATATATATATATATATATATATATATATATATATATATATATATACGTAATTATATAAAATGTTTAAAACTTAACAAAATGTGGAAGACTTCATGGTTCCCTTCCTCTTACAATAACATTATCAGTTTTTTAAGAGGTTAAGTAATGATTTTGAGATGACTCACCCTGGCCATAGCATCCACCAGAGCTCCATTTCTCAACAAACAGCGGACCACTTCCATCTGACCGGCCCGTGCCGCCATGTGGAGTGCTGTCTCCCCGCGCTTATGTACAGCAAAAGCACAACAGTCAGCAACATTAACACACTAAGCTGAGGAAAAATATTACAACCAAGCTGCAAAAACTACAACTCACAATGTTGCGGATATCAGGAGAGGCTCCATTCTGCAACAGCAGCAGAACGATGTTGAGGTGACCCATGAAAGCTGCTACATGGATGGGCGTCAGTCCGGACTGGGATAAGGAAAAGTAAAAAGCAAAGGTGAGAGATGTTAGTGGGAAACACGGGGTTGTTCGTAAACAAAAATCATACAAAAACGTACTGTACCTCTGTAATGGCCTGGATGGAAGCGCCATATTTAATAAGCAGTTCCATCACCTTCACTCGATTCTTCTTACAAGCTATATGGAGAGGAGTAAATCCATTCTAACGCAAAGGAAATTGATAGATTAATACAATTATTTTATAATTGCTTAAATACAAATCTATAAAATAATTTTTTTTTTCTTTCTTACCAATGCCCTTGCGTTAGGGTTAGCCTTTTTGTCCAAGAGGAGTTTGGTGACTCTGTAGTGGCCACAGTGAGCAGCAACATGTAGTGCTGTCAGGTAATCCAGTGTGACATCATCAACAGGTGCCTTGTGCTGTAGCAGAAGTTTTACACACTCTATGTGATCTCCCTGGGCTGACATATGGAGTGGAGACAGTCCGTTCTGTACAGGGCAAGAATAAATGCAGAACATTTGATAATACAGCTTTTTAAAAAGTTATTGTTTAAATGAAAAAAACAAAAAAACAAAGAAAATGAAGCATGAATACACAGTAAAGGCACAGCAGTGTTTTACCTTAGTTCTAGCTAAAATGGGTGCTCCTCTTTCCAACAGGAGCTCCAAGGCCATATCATGTCCACTCCTGGCAGCACAGTGTAATGGGGTAAGGCCATCCTGTAAGGGAATTAGATAGACATAAATAAATAGTAGAACCAGCTAATCAAAAAGTAGTAGTCATGTCAAGGAACTACTGAGGTTACAAGTTGACATCATAAAAACCGTTTCATTCAATAAAACCTGTAGCCGCAAAATTAATACAAGCCTCACCCTCGTTTTAGCATCTATCTGAGCTCCTCGATCCAACAGTAAAGCCACCATGTTGGTATTTCCTCTCTTGGAAGCAACATGGAGAGGAGTTATCTCATTCTGACAATGAAGAGAAGACGATAAGATTGTCATTAATACAAGTTATTTATATGTGTGCATTCTAAGCAGTAAGATACAGGTACTTAGGTATAGTACAGTATTAAAGTATTACTAGTTAATGTCTTTATTGTTGAAATCTATTGATAGCATAGCGAGCTGTGTAAATACGATAAAACATTCAATAGATACAGCTATCAATATCAATTAGGTATGATGCAAATCAGCATCATCTGGCATTAGTGGGCATGACTGTTGTTAAACTAAATATTTAGTGTCATGAAGTTAAATAATTTTTTGTGCTTTTGTTGCTTTTGCTGGACAGTTTTAAAACTGTATTACAACATACTGTAGCTGTTTGTCCAATTCATTCTGATACATCTCTGAAACATGCTAAACAAATTAAAATATAAAATCTAGCTGTTCTAGAGTTTTACTAGTGTGAGACAAATTGTTTTGGAGAAGGGAATTGAGACTCTACCCGGGCTGTAAAGTCAACGGCAGCTCCTCTGTTTAGCAGCAGTGTGGAGACATTGACGTTACCGTAGTGAGCTGCAATGTGCAGCGGGGTGAAACCGCTCTGTTCACAACAGACAGGTAGAAAGCAGAGAAGAACAGAATTAGATAAATTATCAGAAGTAGACAAACCAAAAACCCTGAGAGCTGAAGCCATATAATAGCAAAGATGCATGCTTTTGAAATACAGAAAAATGCAAAAAGCCAAAATATCTCATGCACTGCTCTCTATAGCAAAACCCTTACAAATATTTCATGCAAAAAAAAGCAAACAAACAGACAAAAAAACAATTATTTCTGAACTTTTAAAAAGACTATAAGCAAGTTGTAATGAAAAGAAAATACAAAAAAAAAAGTGATTCTGCAGAGACAGACAAATGAATCCTATTAAGCTCCAACAGATCTGCTTAACACACTAAAAGTATGTTTAACTCCTTACCTTCCCATTCTGGTTGACATGGTGCAAATTAATTAAGAAACATAGTTAACTTAAAGATAAACAAAGTGTTTCAGAGAATAAAATCAATAATAACATGCTGAAAAGTACACATGCTGTAGGTTTGTTTCTGATTAAAAAGAGGCATGAACAGTAAAAAGAAGAACCACTACCAATAGGTATTTGATGAAAAACTATGTAACAAAGAAACGGCTTGTAAAGAATGATCAACTACTACAGAAAAAGAAACCTCTAAAAATTAAACATGATGTAAGCTCCTGGAGTTGAATCAAACATTCCTCTTGGATCAGGTAAAACAGCGCAAGTTTTTCTTTGTCAGCCATGCAGTGTGTGATCTCCATGCAACTGTATTAAAGGTACAGAAGTGTAACATGCGGGAGTTGTGGATGTCACAACAACTCCCATGAATTTAGGGAAAAGTTTTAGGATAAGCTGAAAGAGATGGTCAGAAGTGACAAAAAAAATCAGAGGAAGAGGTGACGAGTCTGTATACCTCTGTGGTTCTATTGACCATCATCTGGTTAGGAGGCATAGAGAAAGAGGAATGGGGTTTAGGGTTGTTAGAGAATGGATCTCTGAATGTCATAAAATGTACAAGGCAAAGACACTGAAAGACAATGAAGAGTACAAGGCAAGGGGCCAGAGGACTAAAACTGGCATGCTTTTTGTTCATTATTGTTCGCTCCACCCTGCTTCATTCTGTCAGGTAAATATGTCATCATGTGTGTTTTATAACCACTCCATTTATCAAAATCAGCATGTTTACTCTCACTAACCTTGGATTGCACATCAGCGTTATGGTCATTCTGGAGCAGGAGAGCAGCAGACTTGGTGTCGTCTTTGCGGGCCGCTATGTGCAAGGCGGGCAGGCGAACCTTACCCTTGGTGTCATGCTCCAGAAGCAGCGAGACCACTGAGTTGTGGCCCTGTTGGAGGGCGATGGCCAGAGGGGTAAAGCCATCCTTCAAGAGCAGTGAATAGAAAAAGGAAATAAAAACTTGGTTCTATTATTTGAGTAACACTAAATAAAATAAATATTGTAAAAAAAGAAAACACATAAAATATATTTTAAATGCAAACCCACTTCAGTTGCAATGCTTTGGTTTCCCTCATTTTCCAGCAAGTATCGCACCACCTCCAAATGATTTTCTTGGGCTGCCATGTAGAGTGGAGTGAAGCCATTCTGCAAAGACAAAACAAAACCAAGTCAAAACATGCACACACCTATGATACAAGTGTTACACAGATTTAATTAATAATGTTTATGCTTATTAAGTCTCACCTGTGACTGAGCATTCACATCTGCCCCTCTGTTCACCAGCAGTCTAACTACTTCTTTTTGTCCAGCCAGCGAGGCAATATGGAGGGCAGTGTTTCCCTTCTGCAAAGGAGAAAGGAAAGTCAAGCAAGTTTGGATCCTGTATAAATGTTTCAAAAACTGAACTTAATTTAACTTTATCAAAACATCCAGTAGATGCACCAAGTTCTATGTTAAAACACCCAGTCATTTTTAGGACATGAATGTTGCAAATAACCCTGTGCTGATATATTGATTCCAGTCCAAGGACACAAACAGCATGGTGACAGATGCCATGTTGACTGTTTAGTGTCTCATAGTGAGCAGATTTCCAAGCAGCGTACTAAATGACACTCATCCCCCTCAGTCTGATTCACCCAAAGTGAAATATGAACTATAATCTAAGTATGGACTCACTCAACCCTTTTTAAAGTTAGGTAATTGGAGTAACTGCAAAAAGAAGAGGACATCCCCTTTACTTCCTTTGCTTTTACATTCCAAATATACTTGGTAGCTAAATATCAAAATGTCTATGTATATATCTATATAATAAACACAGAACAATATAATCATTGATAACTTGTTTGTGTACCATTGATAACATTGTGTACCTTGGTCGAAGAGTCGACTGAGGCTCCTCGTTGTAACAGTTCTTCTACTAATTCTTTGTGTCCCTCCTTGGCTGCCAGGTGTAATGCGTTGAGCCCATTCTGCAGTAAAGACATTAATGTAGGTTTAAACATTGGAACACTGTTACTAGAAAAACAAAACACTGATATAAATTAAATCTGTGGATAGGTTGTTTGGTTTCTCCAACAACAACCTCTCCACAGACGGATGGCCCAACACAGAAGAGTGACCTCCTCTGGACAAGACTCTGCAGTACATCTACATCTTGTGGACAGAGGACATTCTTTTGTGGACCAGAATGTTCACATTTTGGACAAAGAAAATAGGTGGTTTGAGAGGGGTGTGAAGAAAGCAATCTATGTTAAGAGAGAAAAACCAACCTTAAACATAAGGGGGTGGACTCAGATTCCAGCTCTGAAAAACCTACAATTAAGCAATTGAGTTGATTCCTTCCAGATGTCATCGCAACCCCCATCCCATTACAGTCAAACAGAGCACCTCACCTTCCCAGCCAGGTGAACAATCCCCTTTAACAACCCCCCTTTCAGAATCATAGAAAGATTTCAGGTATTACAGACAAATGGAACCAAACAACCCCTACTCTAAAGGGGCGGACCCGCTCCTCAGGTTCAATTGGCATTTTCTAAGCAAAAACAAGGCTTGTTTTTGGTCCACTCTATAAAGCCTCAAACTCAACTCATCCAGACATTTTGAAGTGATAGAGCTTCCTGGATGAGGAGCGAAACGTCTTCAAACTTGGAAAAGAAAAGTCCAGGGGATTGTTTTTTTTTTTTTTTTTTGAAATGACTATGACCTGAATGACTTAGAATCTTCACCAGCAGTGGAGAAGCTGCAAAGTTAGTGAATTATCAATTACAATGGGGAGTTTACAGAGTCAGAGGAAGCATAGTTGTGAAAAGTCATTTAAAATCAAACAGTATTTTCTATAGAGGCACAACTAGATTTTAATAAATCTAGTTTAATAAAAATTGAAGCATTTAAACAGTGAGAAAGGCTGAAATCTAGGAGCAATTAGGAAATCTTAGAAGTAAAAATAATAATCTACATTATCTACAGGGGCCTCATGGACATTGTTGTTTTGTTCATGCTAGCTGGGCTTATCCAGTAAATCCCTAATATAAGACCAAAAAGATGGTTTAAAATATAATCTCCGTATAATTTTGTCTTTGGTTTAAAATAGCAGTTTAACACAGTTTCACAGCAACTCTCTCTCTCTCTCTCTCTCACTCATACACAGTCTGATGTCTTGCTATTGTAAATAGGTAATGGTCACTTACATGAGGAATCCCTGAAAGCAAAAACATTGAAATTTTTCATACTGTTTAAAACAAAATAAATAAAAAAAAGAAAATAATTCAGGACTGGCCTATTTTGGTTTCTGCAGTTCAAAGCACACACACACACAAAAAACGAAAATATTTCCCAAAACTCCTAAGGGGAGGTTTTCCTTGAAAAGCCGACTTATTTTTAGTTTTGTCCTTCTTTCAGAAATAGCAAAATGCATCTGCAGTTTTGGAATTCTGGTTTCGATCTGTCCTACATTTGTACATACATGGGAAATTTTTTAAAGGTATAAAATCATTTCTCTATTCTTTGACAGAAATTAGTTTTACAAAATGAGGTAAACTAAGTGTTACAATATAAAACAGAAATAAACTGTATCATGACGTGCATGGCTGTAAGTCTTCAATTCCTCAAAATCTATCTTAAATCTCTAATAGAAATAACACCCAACAACACAAGACATACAGAGGTTTTGTTTTACCCTCTAGTGAACCAAGTTATTTCCTAGTCTAAAAAATGTTTTGGCCATGATTAATCCTGTGAGAAGTTATAATAAGATACAATCTCTGTCTTGATGGGAAAATCTACATTTTACATCAAACAGTCCATTTGCAGCAGCAAAGTAAGTAACTATTGAAGTAACTACTTCAATACTTATTAATGTGAAGATTTTAGAGATAAAGTATCCGTTCTGTAGAAGAAACACATAAATATATATAATCTCTAACAAATAAAGAGAAGAATGCACCTCATCCTCTTTTTCATCCATTCTCTTTGATGCGTCTTCCAATCTGAGAAAGAATATATAGCCAAATGTTCACGCCTCAGATTCTTTGCTCTTTTAAATCCTCATTCCTCTCAGGCGCAGTTTCCCTTTTGCACCAGAGTGTCTTTTGATCTTCTCTAGTTTAATTTTCCTCCAGTTCTTCTGTGCATACTACCCAAACCACTGCAGGCACAGACGTATAGATTACAGAAACAGGAGGAGCTTCTGGAGGTTCTTCGGGTGGATCTGATGTAGCAGAGGAGCCGTTATGTCGCTAAGGGCCTACATCTTGCACAGCATTGGTGTATGCAAATAAACACTGCCAAATAAAAAAATAGACACGTGCCTCACACCAGCTCCCTGACTTGTCAAATGTCAAACAGCCAGCAGGGGTTTAAAGTTTCTGCCCAGTCATAGGGAGCATATGGGACACACACAGACATAGATAGTGGCCATTTTTAGGGGTAACTAATATATGTCAACCGCTCAACAAGGAAAAATTGGGCAAACATTAAAGGCAAAGGGTTCTTTAAGTGAAAAAAGATATAAATTAAAATATGATATGTACTGATTGATACGGAAACACAAAATTATTTCAAATGTCTTGGCGTAAGATGTTTTTTAAAATTGTATATTGTCTTTGTTCATCCAATTCAAATTATCTAAGAGAATTTAACTGATTCTGTCTTCCATTTACGAATATTAGAGAAGACAGAGAAGTTGTGTCAGTTCTAAAATGGCGGACGATGACACAGCAAAAAAAGAAAAATACCGCAACGTCTTTGTAGTGTTTCAATCACATTTAAACCATTATGTGTTCAGGCAGAAATGGGCAACAGACACACATATGTGTGCACTCTGCCACAGACTGATCTAAAGCCCCTTTTCCTCTCTGCGCTGAGCCATAAGCGAAAGCTTCATTTAGCTAATGGACAGCCTGCGTCACCAGTTCGGACAGAAACCGCTGAACTGTCCAACACAGATTAATATTCATCTGCCTTCTGATCGTTGACCTTTGTTATGATCACACATAAGTGGTCATAGTTAATTGGGGTAGATTTAAGGACTGGAGTGTCACTTGAGGATAAAATTTTGATGGCAAAAATAGGAAATGCAGATTAAAGAGCAATATCACTCACAGAGGATTAACACAGGGCAGATTAAAGGGAGATTCTGGTCATTGTACAGTAAGGACGAGAGAGCCCAAGCAAATAAAGCTGATTCATGCAGATTTTGCTACACACCAATAGTACCTTAGCAATTCCAAGATTATAAAAGTTTGGGAATAATATTACCCCTTTGTTATATATGTAGCCTTCATTCATTCAAGCAGTACGAGAGGTATCTTTGGGCCACTACAGCTCAGGCAGGCTAGAAATAGATCTCTTTCCTTCTCTTTTACTGACTTGGAAGGTCCTGTCTTTGGCACGAGTCACTGGGCTCCAGTGTGGTTGTTGCTTTCTAGGACTGAGTACTTCAGTATGTAATAAACTCTTTGCTGGGATTTCAGCTTTGACAAGTTGTGTATTTTACAAATATAAAGACTGAATAAAACTGTTTCTGCAAAAATAGTCCTATTTTGTTATTGATAGCATACAAATAAACTAGGATTAGAGAAAATCCTTTTAACAGCACTTCTAATAAAGCCTTCAGGGTTCATAGAAATTCATATTGGTCTTTATTATATGACCGTTGTGGCACTGTTAATATCATTAGGGCAAAAAGATCTGATAGAATGATTTTCTTTATAGGAATACCACAATACTGAATAAAATATTAAAAAATAAGAAAAAACACACAATAAAATGGCATTTAAAAACGAAAATGCAGCTAAAATAATATACTATAGTAATGTTTATTATTAATATGAGAATGTATGGCCGTGGCTTTCAACAGATATTTACATATACAGTATTGAATGAGCCTTGAGTTTTGCAATGTCAGTCAGACTAGAATCCTAACTGACCTAAAACAGGAAGAGATTTCTTGTTACGCAATGACAGAAACAAAATTATTTCTTTTTATGCATGCATGCTTTAAGCTCTATGTGCCTGTGATTTACTATATTTTCTTGCTTTTATTTTTACACAAATATACATAAAGAGCCATTATTGAAACACCACTGAATGTTAATTAAGTACCAATTCACCTATTGAAGTTCCTAGCTCCAAAATACATGTTTCTTCAAGCAAAGTATTTCTTTATTTAGTCTGTTCTCTTTAAATTATCAGTTAAATAATCAGGTGTTAGCTAGTTAATTTGTAAGGGAACCTGCCCTGCTAATGAGTTGCTCTAAAATGCAAACTCTTGTAATCTTTTGCAAACATTTTTCCATAAAAAAAAAAAAAAGAAAGAAATCTACACCCTTAAAAAAGTAATGCACTTATAACAACTGACTAAGCTTGGTTTGTGCTCGATGCATGTGCAATGTCTGTTCCTTTAAATTACGGAACTTTTGAACCGACGCCCCTATGCTGGATACACATATGTTCCACAAAGAAATGAGACACAGTAGCTACGTTTACATGGACACAACTAATCGGATTGAAGGCCTGATCAGATCAAAAATGTTTCATGTAAACATGTCAGACTGAAGATTCTAATCCGATTCGGTCCGATCGGATCTAAATTTAATTCCGAAAGAGAGAGGTGGTTTTTGTCGATCGCCATTCCGATTGGCGTCCATGTAAACACCCATTCGGATCTTAAGAGTAAAATAATCTTCACTGCGCATGTGTGCGACGTCAGCGTGACGTTTTTCCGCCTTGTCAACAACAGGAAACCACCGGTCGCTCTCGCTCTTGTTGTGAACAACATGGCGGGAGGAGTCTAGTCTTATACACTCAAGTTCATTTAAAGCTGCAGGAAGCAGGAATTTATCCTCCTCCTCTTCCTCTTTTCTCTCTCCACAGCCCACTCGCTCTCCCACGCCGGTTCAATCTCTCATTCTCTACATTTTCTCTCAGACATTTCGCTGCCAAGCGCTTTTTTCCTCCTCTCTCCGTTTTTCTTTCCGCTCGCTCCGAGCGCATCGTTTGTCAGGCCTCCCAAAAACCAGACGCAGACAGAACTGCCAAGTTTGGCAGGAAGTTCTGCGCATGCTTAAAAGATTTAATCTGATCCAACGCTTGGTACATGTATACGCACGTCATGATCGGATCATTTCATTTAGTGTCCATGTAAACGGAGATTTTGAATTTCCGATCAACCAAGGTTTGGATCGGATCGGGGAAATTTTACGCATGTAAACGTAGCTAATGTCACCAGCTTTTATACTCTGTGCAACTTTTCCCTATTTACCCAACATTCTAGCCAACTCTAGGCATAGCATAGGTATTTTTTAATACTTTTAAAGCCTTCTTGTAGAGTAATCTTTTACCAAAAGTTTTTCAAAATCTGTTATCGTGGTGACATGTATGAGCTAAATAATAAGATGTTTATATTAGTCAACCCACTCCAGCAGAAGCTGCGGCTCGTCCATGTTTTTCCATGGAGAGCTTTTCATTCAGTTACAAATTTTCCAAGGTTTATTTCTACCAAAATTATTGGTAGTTCACCAACTTACACACTGTTTTTAAACAATAGAAGTTTAGGTGGAAGGTTTTTCAGTTATAAAACTCAGCTGAATGATAGCTTCTGCCATACACCAGAAAATAATAGAAATATATAAACTATAAAGAGTACAAAGCCCGGAATCAAGCGTAGTTAATTGGACTTTACCTCCCTTGACTCTTGCAGGGGCTCAGAGGAGATTTCAGGGATAATGTCAATCACATTTTTAGTCACCTGACAGCATCTCACATTTGGTCATCTGACCTGAAGAAATACCTTCAAAGGCATGGCTCTCGTGTTACAGGGTCCTGTGTTTGTGTGTCTGTACTTGTGTAGCCAGTCTTTCTCCCCGACCCCCAAAACAAAACCATGGTCCCCATGGTAACAAGCAGTACAGCAATGGGTGGGCATCTGTGCTCCCCGGGCTACAAACCAATTACAATCCAGTTTATAAATATTTGCTGTTAATTCATGCCAGGATTCTGAAAGGCCAACAGAAACAACAACGGGGAATGTAACGCAGGAACTCACACACATAATACACATGCTCACGTAGGCCCACTCGATATCCATCTGTGGGTTGTCTTGTGACTGCGGCAAATCACAATGACACAGAGGGGTTGACAGAGCTACAAACAGAAGTACCCCCCCTGTAATACTCCGCTTCCTAGAAAAGAATGTGGCTAAGTGTGGGCAGTCGGGGGGGGGGAGAGCATCTGTCAGTGGGCCACAGACCCCTAATATTATGCAGAATGGCCCCATGTTTGTTTGGTTATTTATTTACAAAGGTAATTATTGTGATGCTTTTGCATGAGTGCAAAAGCTAGCATTAGCAAATAGTTTTTCTCTTATGTACCTTTTGTTTTTTGGTGCAGCCGATAAAAAGATACCCAGTACAGGTTTTGGTACAATGCAAAAACTCATCAAATATTTTAAGAATAAATCATATGCTGCTTCAGTTAATGTCTCATTCAAACATTTTCAGAGCCCCTGAAACTAACTTCAACTTATTTTAATGGGCGATTATGCGACAGAGCAATAGAAAGTACGGCATACTTTTTAAGTGGAAGGAATACATCTGAACCAATCTTTTGCAGTTCTATCAATTTATATAATATAGAAATGTGGGCTTTATAAATCGTATGTTTAATATCTGTCTGATGTTATTTTCAAAAGATACTTTTAATCTGATACATCAGTATCATATGGACACATTTTCTTTTGTTGTCTGACCTGTTCAAATAGTCACAGTATGTAAGCTCTTTTTTTAAAACTTTGAATACCTGGTCAATACTTTGTGCATTTGTTCTAGTTCATTTACAAGTGCAAAATGTTCTTTCAAACTTGGCATTAAAGATTTAGGACTTTTTAGGTTTGAAGGATGAAATCTCCAATATTTATAGATATGTAACAACTGTTGATCTCTTGTTTTTGAAAAACTGCCTGTGCAGTTCAAGATAAAATTCAGCAGCTTGTAAAATCTTGATTTAGAATATCACTGGCTAATATATTTTCTGACCAACATATGGTAACAAAGTGCTTGTAAAACAATACTTACTTAATTAGATACATTACATATGGCACCTTAGCTAAATTGTAAAACTATGCACCCAGCACAAAGCAAAAGAAAACGACAGATGTAAAACAGTTGTATTATTTGTTTTAAATAGTCTTACCTGGTTGCAAGTGCAGATGTCTACTCCATTTTTGAGGAATTCAAGGACTTTGTCAGTGTTGCCGGCACGGGCAGCCCGAAGAAAACTGGTGTTACTGTCGGACTGTAGAGAAAGAGACATAAGTAAAGATAATACAAATCATCAAACCAACTTCACTTAAATGTTGTTTAAATAAATGATCATTTTTAAACGAAAAAGAAACAATAAGACATTATCATTACATTACATTACATTACATCATTGAAGAAATTACAGGGATTTAGGGCAGCAGAATGTCAAGAATCCAGTTCAATTTTGATGCCAAATGCAATCACCTTTAAGGGTTAACTCACATTTTCTCCCCAGTTCTTCCCACGGCCTTTGTCCTTCTGTGAGCTTTAGCTTTCAGCAATAACCCTTTTAATCAGAGGTGGACCTCAAGGGCACTGAGATCACTTCCAACTGACCAGATCTGGCGTTAAAAGTGTATGATTGCTTGGGACTTTCCATGTTATAGACTATGAAATAAAAGCACCTTGCAGTGGCATTTATGCACATTGATATTGCATTGATGGCTGTGATTTCACATATTATAAATCTATACTTCAGTCCTATTAAAAGAAATTAAAAAGTGTAGTAATTTCATTTGCATACATCTGCATTAAGACATTGCTTCAAATGAGAAGGTGTTGTGCAATTTTGCAGAGGGTTGTAAGATAAGTCTGAGTAGGCCATTCTAAATTTAACCATAAAATCTGTTCAAAGCAGCAAAACACAAATTTACACCATGCATCTCTTCCATTGTCACTCCCACTGTTAAAATTAGAAATTTAAAACTCATTAGCTTAACTTAACAGCAAAATAAACACTAACTGACGCAGACTGCTACTATCAAATATTACTTTCGCTCCTTTGAAAAAGCTGTTATACCTTGTGAACATTTTGTTATTCCGGCATGCTGCAATCACAATCTTGAAAGTAAATATTGAAAATAATATATATATTTTTTTATAGATAAATGCGATATACAGTACCCTTTGTACCCTTTTTCAAGTTTATCTATTGAGACCATCCATGTCAGAGCTTTGAAGAAAAGTATTTTTCTATAAATAAAGTCAACTAAGTGATTATACTTTGTAGTCCTTACCCTAGCATCACAATTCTGGTTAAAAACAAGGACGAGGGAAATAAAACCACACCCCCTGTGTAAGGTCAGAAGTCAAACCTCCTAGATCCGAGGTCATCCCACAAATAAACAGAAACACCACTAGCAATGAGGTCAAAAATAGGCAGAACTCTGTTAGTACAGGACACCAGAAACAAAAGACACTAAAGCGACAGAGATTTTACTATTCCTTCTCTTACCTGGAAATCAACATCCTCAGGTTTAGAGTCTGCAGACTGGTAGCATTCAGGTAGTTGGTTTGAATCACTATCACTTCCATCACTCTTTGAGTTTTGATCTGATCCACAGGATTTACAGGATGTGGAATTACCCATAGTAACCATTACATTTCTCACCTATACAGTACATGAAGTCCTAAAGTTGCTGACTGCACATCCTTTGGTAGAATCCTTTTCATTCTGCTTCGAGGGGTAAATGCGGCAAAAACTCACCAAATTCTTTATCCTAACTTTCAGAACCAGTTAAATCAATTAATAACTCCATAATGACCTTATTATTTTTATAGCATTAGAAATTCCATGTTCCACAACTTAGCTTAGTCTCCGTCCAGCATGCATTCAAGGCCTTGGCCTGCCTGGTCTGCCTCTAAGTCTCTTTTTTGCAGGTTAAGCTCTCCAGCTTTTGCTATTTTTAACATTTCAGATCATCAATTCTACCGTGTCCGCAGACCCTTGCAGCTTGAGGCCGGAGTTGGGTGGGTTGGGATGGTATGACAGCTGGGGTTAAGAATCAGAATATGGACTGCATTGCTTGTGGTGTTCCATAATACAACCCAAAGAGACCAGTTCGGATTTTTTGGAATAATTTAGACTTAACTGTTGTCATAACTTCACACAACTGTAAAGTGATGCCTTCAAATGTGTCTGTCCAATTTTCTTTTTTATTTCCGTGTTTTCCAGAGTCTTTCAATGTCTTTCTTTCAGTTATTATCTACATTAGGGTCTTCTCTATTTCAGCCATTTATGGGCTTTTGAAAACCCTCTTCACATTTCAATATAATTTTATCAAAGTAATCAAACATTCCCAGCCTACACTTTTATGGATTAAAGGTCTTGTTCTGGCGTTTGGATTTTTTGGTTTAACTTTGGGATTGTTTATAACAGCACTGTGTAAGTTTTGACCCATTTAAGCTATATCAAATGATTTTTAGGTCAGCAGTGAGTACCCATGCTCTGTGCTCCCTTCTCAAAAACTCGCCAATGTAACTTGAGAAGAGGGTCGGATATATGGCTGTAAGTGTCATGCGACCTAGACTGCCACTTTCCGTCAGCGTGAGCTATGCTATGCTAAAAGTTATTGTTAGACAACAAAACAGATGTGACACAATAAATAGAAAAGAACAATTGGGCAGGGGAATGAGTTCAGTTAAAAGGTGATGGGGGGACTGGCGGACTAGTGGTTAGGGCATAGACCACAGAGCTTGGTTCTCAGTTCGAGCCCCACTTCCACAGACTGCCACTCTTTGTTTCTGAGCAAAGACCATAACCCCCTATTGTTCCCCGAGCGCCCCAGGATGGCAGCCCACTGCTCCCCAAGCGGATGGGTTAAATGCAGAGGTACATTTCTAGAATGTGAACTCAATAAAGTTCAGTTACTGTTATCAGCGACATTCCATCAAAATGGTACATTAATTCTTGCAAGAATGAGAAAAGACAAGCATACAGTCAAACCAGTGTCGAGTTACTCATTTTTTTAGCTCCTTCAGAGTGTAGCATAACTATTAGCGTATTATCTGATTGTGATACTTGATACTTGTGATTAGAATTTATTATTATTAAACCAAATTATATTACAGCTATCTTTCTTTATTACGCTACGTTATCATGATTCTGTGTGACCTTTATGATCTTAACCAGTAAAAATATACATAAATTGGGCTTATATGGCCAGTTCAACTGTGAAACTGGAGACTTTACTCAAAATATAATTTACCACCAAATATTTATCCAAGAAGTTCTTCGCAAATGCAATCCTTAACTAGAGATAGAACAGTATATTCGGCTGATATTTTGGACTGATATTGATATTTGTTTCCTTGCATCAGAATAAGCCATGCAATTACTGATTCATTAGTACATTCAATAGCCTTGCCTTGAGATCAAGTGAAGCGCTTGTATTGTCACTTCTATATACTATCCAGTGTTAATGTTTTGATTGATTTGTGTATAAATGTTTATCTGTGCAGCTTTTGTTATAATTGTGTCATTTCTATAATGTAAATGAAGGAAGAAAACAAAATATTGGCTTCAAAAATTTGACCCCCAAAAAGCAAAAGCAGATATTGGGAATTGGTTATACTGATGTCCAAATAGTATCGGCATCAGCTTTAAAAACCTGTACAGGTAATTTTCTATAATATTGCTGATAAATGTGGTTTAATACATCATGCTGCTCTGTTTAATATGTAATTGTCTTTCTCAGATTATCCTGATCATATTTCTTAGATTAGACAAAAACAAACGAAAGTAGTCATACTCTTGGCTTAATTGCTCATTTCATTCACCTGTCTAATTCTGCCGGGTTTCTCGTTGCTGCTCATCTGATCCACCTGCTCATGGCTCTATTTAAGCTGCCTCATACCAGTCATCAGGGCCATATTATTCTATTGTACCAGTGAGAGAGGGTGTCCAGCATTATCTTAAAGTTTCTGATTAACTGTTCTGCCTCTCAACCTCTGAGCCTGCCTGCTCATGTTATGATTCTGTTTGCCTGACTAGTCTTCGGAGTCCTGCTGGATTCTGCCCGTTAACCTAAACTGGAACCCCTGTTACAGACCTGAATTTCCCTTCGGAAACTCTTCGGACCTCTGATCTTCTAGTTCTGAATCAACGTCCTCCACACCGGCTTTGAGTTCACCCTGTGGATAATCCTGCCTACCTTCGTCTGCTCAGTTCTGATCTCATGTCTGTCCTCCGAGCACACAGCGGAGTTCTACACCAGCGTCTGGCACTCTCTGTGCAGCAACAGCTGCGTCCTGTCAGCTACTTCTTGATAATCATCCTTTGTCAGATTATCATGGCCACTAACCTGTGTTTCCTTTCTCCAGAGGTTCCTGCTTTAGAGCTGTTACTGTCCAGCTGTTACTGCAGATCTGCAGCCCTGAATACTGGATCCTCTGTTCTGAGCTTGACAAAAGTATGATATAAACTCGAGTTGTTTATAACTGATAATTTTTTCTTATTACTGGGCTTTAAAGGCCTGGGGGCTTTTGATATTCCTCATTTTGCAATTAGAATTATATGATTCATATTTTGAGTATACATATAATTGTACTTGAAAGTTTACAAAACCTTACATTAAAGACAGAAAAAAACAGCTGTCAGTAAAATTAAATAAAATGGAGAAAAACAATAAACAATTATTTTACTTAATTAAAATCTTGGTTATATTGGTATGAAACCCTGATACTTTATGGCAATCGTATAATTAATAACTCCTACTCACTCATGTCCAGCTAAAATACTCTGCTACATAAACAGCATTTAGACATATTGGAGGGTTTATCTACAGTACTTTCAAACAAACTAAGTCAGGAAACAACATCACAGAACTTTAAACTACAAAGATTTTACCTGACGTTTAGCCTTTTCCCGCTTCCTTTTCCTCCTCTCCCTGGCTTTCTGCAGAGCTCTATATTCTGGATGTTGCTCAAGCTCACGGGCCTTCTTCAGATGGGCAGCTGCATGTGCCATGACTTCACCCCTTTGACTTTTTTGTCACAATCAAAAATGGTTTCACAACAAAAAATGTTCTAAGCTATGTATTAATACACATAAACAAGTCGAGTGGCTCAATAGAAGCCTTTCTATGGTCAGACAGAAATATCTGAATTAATCAGAATTAAGTTATCACAAAAATAATTAAACTGATGCTCATATTTCTTTGAGTTAGATCGTTTTTTCTTGTTGTTCCTTTTTTGTTGTTCTTTTTTAAATTCTTGCTTTATCTTTTTTTTTCCAGTTCTTTTCCTACAAGATCCAGGACGTTATTTTCTAGTTAAAAAAAAACAACAAATTTTGCAATCTGTTAGAGGTCCAGACTTTTAGAAGAAAATGTCCAATGAAACACAACAAATAAAAATCATCTATTCAGAGGAGCACCAGCATTAGAACTGAGCAGGGCTGGTGAATGGTTCGAAAAATTACGCATCCTCACACTGATGGCATAGAGCACCACACACACAGATACTCGTACATCCACAGGGAAATGATCCCGACCAGATGTGCATACAAATCTCAGTGAGTGTGAACAGCTGCAGCTGTAAATCCCCTGTTATTGTGCAATTTGTATGTGTGTGTCAAGTGTGAACATTTTAGCATCTAATGTGAATGTTAGTGGACACGTGACTTACAGTCAGCGGAGATGTGTGTGGAAACAGCCAGCTCACTGCTGCAGCACCAGCTGCAATAATGTTCCATGTACAGAGAAAAAAATGACACAAGGGAAAGAAGGCTGGGTGAAAGCAGGATGCCCATTTAGCAATGGCATCATGACTAGCATACAGATCTCCCCCCTCTGTCATTTCAGATATTCCTCTCCTATACGTGAAATTGCAGCTTCACAGAAGGCACAAGTTTGGGACTAAGTTAAACTAAGTTTGGGACTAAAATGCAAATACAACATTATTTTTGAAAAAAAAAAAAAAGATCAAGAAGAATGAGTATGAATATTCTTTATAAATCCAATTGTAAAAATAGGACACATTCTAACATTTTTAAATATCAGCTACTCTTTAAAAAAATCTAATATTACGGCCTCCCTAGAGCAATGCAGCGGATGCTTGCAGTTTGAAATTCCAGCACAAGGGACAGGGACACCTTCTCACACCTCTATTTCTGTTCACACATTCTTCCTGACGTTTTGCATGCGTTGACATCAACAACATCAGCAACATATTTTCCCGTAAGCTACCATGACACGAGCCAGATGTGCTGAATCACATGCCTGTCTACCAGGCATATGATGACACCACTGTTTGAAATGTTTAATACCAGTAAGCTGATGATAAGTTACACTGCAATCATGCTGACTTTTTGTGAATGTACACTTTTCCTGTACCGCTCTCTGCTGGTGAGAGGGGCTATTGCAACATGTGAATACTAAATTAATCCAAGAGTCAGAAGCACATATGGAAAATGTAGTACAGCATAAGCTTGCTGAGTTCTGTTTCAATCATACTGGCTGAAAAATATTCTCATTCTTTTATTAAAGTCATACAGTTAAATCTCATACAATTATGACAAATAAAAAAATCACTTTTTAGCCCCAAACCTGTTAATTTAGACCATTTTTACTTTGCATTAATTAAATAATCATTTTTTTTTATTTAAATGGGGTACTTCAGAAATGCTAGTCCATTTTGATTACAATGCAAATCAGTTTCAATATCAGTGAATGAAGACAATCTATGATCGTCAATTTTTAAGTGTTTCCAAAGATAGTCAGTTGATATAGATCTAAACTTTGTCGAGGCCCTTCTAACATATCAATTTGTTGTTTCTTCCAAACCATTCCATTGCAATCGTACATAATCTTAAAGATGTTGCTTAAAGAGACAGCCAGAGTGGCAGTCTGTGGGAGTGGGGCTCAAACTCAGAACCTCAGGATTCCAAGCCCTAGCCCCTAACCACTAGGCCACCACTCTCCCACTCCAACCTTTAACAATTGTGGCTAAAACATTGTTTAATGAGGAAACTGAAACCTCAGTAGTTCAGTGCAGATGCGTCTATAAGCCTGTAGCCTGTTTTCCTGAATTTCCTTTGGGGCGGACATTCCAGCACTATTTGGCTCATGTGAAGTCAAAGGCATCCGCGTTGAATAGGTCCAACCTATTAACCAATCAAAGCGATATATTCAAGATGGATTTTGTGGATATTCAGTATTGACCAGTATTCAGCTCAACTCAGACATCAATCGCAACTCTATGTAATGGTAAGAAAGTAAAAAAAAAACAAAAAAAACAGAAAAATCTAAAAGTTGTCTAGTTCAAGCATGAGCTAGGAGGATGAGCTGAAGAGTGCTGCAGTTTTGGGTTTTGGTCACAGGAGGCAGCCCCGTTTGCTCTAAGCTTTGCACTTGAACACTGGGCTCTATGCACAACTACACTACTTCCTAAATTTAAAGATCATTTTTGGTTTCCTGTGTTTTTTTTCTACTGGATGAACTGATTAATCCAGGTGTGCCTGACCGTTGTAACCATGGCCAGGCACACCTGGATTAATCAGTTCATCCAGCACATTGTAACAATGAATACAAAAACACATGCAAAACATATTTATGTAGAATGTACTATAACAGATTTATAATTTATCAACTACCCATTGCTTTTAGTTTACAAAGTGGTTTTCTTTACTTTTGGCTCTTGCCTGCTTATCAGGTGGGTTTTTTTATTGTAGGAATTGTGCCGTCTCTGTGTTGACCTTTGATGCGACCCGTCCAGGGTGTACCCCTCCTCTCGCCCATAGACAGCTGGAGACAGGCACCTGCCCCCCACGCCATCCCGCATGGGATAAGTGTGACAGGAAATAGATGGAGGAATTGTGCCTGTTTTAGGAAATAATCACACAACCAATTTTGGTAGAGACCTAGATTCACCAAGGAGTCATCAGTGATGTGTTGATCACAAACACAGTTCTATGGGTTTGGAGTGTGCTTCCAAAATAACATTTCTGGCAACTATGGGCTTCTATAGGAAGGGTGAACAAAGTCAACACGTTGCACAGCTGAAAACACACTTTTGAGACTTTGATATTATCTATAGCTAAAAGATTACACTGGATATTAAGAGCTTAAGGAATGCACAATCTAATAAAGGAGCAATAAGTCATAAATCATTATTCAAGATTGAAAGACAAAACAACGTTATGTGAAGAACTAAAAATATCTTTTTAGATTATGTGACATCTCACATCATCTTTCTGTGTTTTTATGCATTCTGTGTTTAGAAGCCAGACTGGCTGCTCCTATATGTACGTCCATGTTAACAGCTGCTAATCAGAGCCAAGCTCCCCTTTGGCTATAAAATGCCAGCATAGCAGTGTGGCAAAATGGCTGGGAGTGCATCCAGTGAATCGAAACAATCACAACCATTGGACAAAATGAAGTTCTCTTTCCAGCAACGTTATAAAGCTGAGGTTGCAGCTGGAGTTGAGGTGCATAGAGAGGAGTGTTGTTTGTTACAAATCTTACTTGGGTTGCATACAGTGCTCAACAGCCCACCTGAGGTCAAATATCACTTATTGCTCTTTTCAGTGTGGATTTTAAAATCAATAATTGACATAGTTCCTCCCAGAATTCCAATGTATTTGTGATGCTAGCTTTAAAAGTCCCCTAGAGCGGGACAGTAGTAGATGAAATGTTTTTTTGATGTGTAATGTTGTTGGCTTTCCACAGCGAAATGCTAAACTAGGGTGAGCCAGGATGAGGCTGGAGGTTTAAAGGATAAGTTCGGTTTTTAACACTTTTAGCCCATTTTCTGTAGTGTCCAGGATGAAATCGAATGATCGACACCAAAATTTTGACAATTGGTCCTGTCTCTGCTTTTTGGCTCATTTAGAATCCACCCCTGGCTGCTTTAGAATGGCTTCCATAGAGCATGTCCGATAATGTCCTTAAAACAACCTTAAACGTTCTTTTTTTAAAATATGCTACTCAGCGGGTCGTCAGCGCTGTTCAATGACGTTCCAAAAAAAGTTTCGTGAAGAAAAAACGTTCCTGTAGTGTTTTATTTAGCATTTTGTAAATCCCATTGAGTTCTGTTGGAAAAGTCAATATTCCCCTGCCACCTGAAACGGAAATGGGGCCTGTTTACACAGTTGTAGTCTTTTCTCTTCACTCTGTGTACTCCGACGTCGAGGTGCTAACGTCTCTGTTAAACACTTTAAAAAACTCTGAAAATGGAATACGAAAGGTGGATTCTTGATTCTCGACGTCGGAGTACACAGAGTGAAGCGAAAAGACTACAACTGTGTAAACAGGCTCCATTTCCATTTCCGGTGGCAGGGGAATATTGACTATTCCAACAGAACTCAATGGGATTTACAAAATGCTAAATAAAACACTACAGGAACGTTTTTTCTTTACGAAACTTTTTTTGGAACGTCATTGAACAGCGCTGACGACCCGGTGAGTAGCATATTTTAAAAAAAGAACGTTTAAGGTTGTTTTAAGGACATTATCGGACATGCTCTATGGAAGCCATTCTAAAGCAGCCAGGGGTGGATTCTAAATGAGCCAAAAAGCAGAGACAGGACCAATTGTCAAAATTTTTGGTGTCGATCATTCGATTTCATCCTGGACACTACAGAAAATGGGCTAAAAGTGTTAAAAACCGAACTTATCCTTTAAGCCCCTGCTTTACCTAGACAGCTCCTAAGAGTCAGACTGGATCAGGAAGCCTGATGAGCTTGGTAGACTTCACCTCTTTCTAAACTATTTAACACCCATTGTTGCAAATATGCAACAAACCCTTTGTATTATACACACAGCCAAGAAAGCATGTGCATTCCCTCAGTCCAAGTTATAATGTGAACCAAGGAGAATTGGCAAGCTCTTATTTCCATTACAAATAAAAATAAACCAGTAGGATGTTTTATTTTACATACAACCAATGTCAACAGCTATAAATGCAGTGTTAGGGGTGTGTTTTGATTACTCGTGAATTGCAACTACTGGTATAAAGAGTTTTTTATTC